GACATGTTGAAATTGGACTGTGGTGGCCACTGCAGACTGTTGGACTCCGTTACAATCTTCTTCAGTCTCCTGTTACAGTCGTGGGTTTGCTTGGACAGCCTGATAGTGACTCCCTGTCTGTCTGGAACAAATAATTTATATTAAAAATACATTTACAGAAAATACAAACACCAACAACACATCAACATCACATTTGATCATTTATTATATTATATATTATTGTCATTTATTCATATTTATTTTTCAATGAAGATGACAACCAACTGTGGCTTGAATCACTGAATTTACACCAAGCACTGCAGATATATTTTAAGACTTCTATGTTTTATAAATAATGAAAAAAATGCTTTGGGTTCTCAATAGAGACACATTAAACCAAACTTTGCTAGATGACAATAAGCACAGTTAAATCAGTACAATAAGTGTGGATCCCTTCCTTCAGAACGTGTCTGTGTAGGTTCTCAGTCATCCAGATCATGGTAGTCTAAGAAGCAACCACACCATCATCAGTTTTTCAGCAGTTACGAAATCTAGACACATGTGACAAAACTGAACATGTCACATGACACACCTTAATAAGCGTGTGATCCACTTTCAATCTGCACTTTCATTCATTACTTCAACATGTTAAATGAGCTTTGAAGAAATGTTCAGTGAAATAAAGCTTTCATCACAGGATTCATGTGAGCACCAGATGAACTGTACAAAGATTCAGTGGATTTATCTTCTGTTTCAGATCAACTTTGATCACTTAGCGCCATCTAAAGTCCATTTTGTTTTTCTAACTTCTCACTCATTAACATCTCATATGATTTCAGATCCCTGCTGTTCCCCACCTGAAAACCTGAGGTGGCCTCAGTGTGCCTCAAACCATTTACAGATGATTACGTGTCATTCACAGTTCATATTTAAATAGAAGACGTGGGACGTTGATGTTGAAGCAGTTTAAACATGTCCATCCATCCATGAACATGTAAGAAATACAAATAAAGGTTTGCTTCATGTCTGAAATATGTAGAAAATATTCTGGCTATAACAGTTTGGGTCAAAGTGCAGATGTTCCAGATGTTCTGCAGTCTCTCTGTGTTTCATGTTAACATGTAGATGTTGTACCAAAGTGAAGTTTTTTGATGTGACTGCAGGAATGTGAAGTGTAACTTCACAGCTTTAGAAAATGAAGCTTTAGAAAATGAAACTAAATGGACTTTTTCTCCTTTATTTATAGGGAGGTGTAGGAGAACAACAGGTGAACAAGTGTTACTGTAGCAGGAAACACAAACATGTCATCAGAGGATCTTTATGTTCATCATTATCACTGTTTTCTTGTTCTGTCCATCACAAACACACAACACTTCCTGCTCTCTCTCTGATGGCTCTGATTGGCTGTTTCATTCACAGGAGGTCAGGGCATCGCACAAACAGCTTTAACTGCACAACGACACACTTTAAATCATCTACAGACAAACTTGTGTGTTTGTTTTATGAAGAAATAATAAAGAAGTGTCTACAGCTGTCCATAAAGCAGCTTCTCACACAAACTCTGACACTTCAGTCACTTTAATTCCTGCAAAGCTGCGTAATAAAAAGCTGTGACTGCTATGAACTGTGTATGATGATTGCATTTAGATTGTTTATTTATGGTTGGTTCACACAGCTTGTGTATGTTTGTGTATGCATGTGTAGCAGTATATATCCACATGCATGTGTGTGTGTGTGTGGGTCAATTGGGTTGCTTACATTGTTGAGATGTACATTGCTGTGCTTGAGAGTCACCATCTACCGGAACCAAATTCCTTGTATGTGTCTGTGCATATACATGGCTAATAAACATGATTCTGATTCTGATTAAGCTCTCAGCTGAAGTTTCATTCATTTATTTTAATGTTAATGTCGCCTTTTTAAGTCTGTGTGATGATTTTAATGACAGACACTAAAGGAGGTTCTTTGATGATAACCAAATTCATGTTTGTTTTCTGCCTGAAATGATAAAAACATTAATAATTTTGTTTATAATCATCAACCTGGAGACTAATGAAAAGTATAATAGTAATAAAAATCCTTTATTATTTGAGTAATGCCTGAATCTGCTCAGAGACAGAGACAACAAAGAGCTGTTGATGACAGTTTGATATTAACTAAATTAAAAACAAAGTGCTCTTATTGTGAAAATCTCCCTCCTACTTGCTTAAAATCATTTTTATTTATTTTTTAATGTCACAGTGAAACATTGAGACATTAATCTGACACAGTTTCATCAGCAGCTGTGTTTTCACAGACATTTCACTTTGATTTGTTCAGACTGAGCAGAGAGAAGTGGCTCTCTGTGTGCGCACTGCTGATAAAAAGAAGCTAATTTCTGCTCAGTTTCATGAAAACAGTGTGATGGAGGAACAGGAAGTTCAGCTGGCCTCTAAACTCTCAGCGTGAGGACTGAGTGAAGAGTTTCAGAGCAGAGAGTTTTGGCTCACAGCTTTTAGCGTCACACAAAGAGTCGATTACGCACTCGTTCTGAGAACATCTCCATCTCCTAAAAACAAACTAGCAGCTTTCACAACCACAACAGGCAGAAGACTGGATTTCGTCAGGCTCCGATTTCATGCAGTTTGCAGCAAATTGTGTGTCACAGACTTTGTAGTTCACATTTGTGTGACTCTTTTAAATCTTCTCCTCCTGAAAGTGAAACTCTTAAAAACACATAAGGACACAACCTGCTGCAGGTGATTGATCTAAAGACAGCTGACCTTTAAAGCAGTTTGCCTTTAATTCCTGAAGCACAGATAAATGAACACCATTGGACTTTATCAGAAATGAATGAAATTTAATGGGATCCAGTGTAAAATGGCACGTGGAAGAATGGGTTTGTTTTATAATATTTAAAACACGGTTATCGAATGGAAACACAGCAGAAGCCCAAATGTTGCACTTGAATACAGAGAGTACAGAAATGATGTCGGAATCATTTAGTTCCACTCAGAAATATGAACGTCAAGTTAGTCAGACAGAAACGATTTCCATATAGAAACACTCTGTTTGTTCTTCTTAATCATTCACTCAAAAAAGAGAAACTGGATGCTTATTACATTTAGAAGAGTTTGAACAATAATGTTTCTAACGTGAACATCATTAAACCATATACGATCTGCAGGAAATTCAACTACTTAACACGTCTCAGTTCTTGTTGAGATGATGTGACACAATGTAGTAACAGTGGTTAGTTGCCTTAAAAGCTGATACACTCGCAATATCACAAGACCAGGTGAGACTTCAGACCAAGGGAAAATCACTGGGGTTATCTGTGAAGAGGCAGAAAAGCATAGGCGTGGTGTCAC